ATTCAAGTCAAACTGAACTGATAAAAGCTTTTAATAAACTCATCTAATCTTGTTACATCTCAGCCATTCATGGAGAAGCACCTGAAGATCCAAGACACTTGTGGAATCCATAACCTTCATGCCATGCCAGGACTCATAGGAGGCATTGTGGGAGCCATTACTGCTGCATGTGCAACAGACTCAGTTTATGGCAAACAAGGGTGAGTAGTCCTTGGTTGCAAAGAGGAAAGTAAGCAGAGGTCATGGTGGCTGTATCTTTTAAAATTCAATTAATAAAACAAAATCAACAAGTAGAGGAACAAAAAAGACAGTAGTCATATTTAATTATTAACATGTTTGACTTTAATGGTGACTTCCACAACATGACACCTGCAAGGCAGGGTGGTCACCAGGCTGCAGGCATGTGTGTGGCTCTCTGCTTCGGTGTAGTTGGAGGCATCATTGTTGGTAAGGAGTGACCTCTTCAGCCTCTTATCTGTTTGACTGAAAATGTACAATAACTATGTTAATAACTGTAAAGTTAGTGCATTTGAACAAGATGTGGGAGTTTACACACACTGTACCTCAGACTGTGTGTGTTGGCATAACGACTGCATTTGTATTCATCTCAGGTTGTATTTTAAGATTACCTATCTGGGGAGATCCTGCAGACGACAACTGCTTTGATGATGAGGTCTACTGGGAGGTGAGAGACAAATCCCTGCAGCCATAAAGCTGTTTCTGCTGTTTTAAACAGGAATGTCAATATCAATATTACAATTCAGTTGTACAGAAACTGTGAATTTGCACACAATAAAAACCAGACATCTTAAAGGTTACAAATGTTTTAATGATTTTCTTTCAGTAGAGTTTTTATGACGGTTATTAAACTCAGATCAGTTAAAATGTAATTTACTGAAAAATGGTTTGACAGCACCAGCTGCTCTAATTCAAACCTGCTGATCGGAGACTTTTTACTTAATCGGCTTCAATCTGATCTGATTCTTTACTAGGAGAAGCCAATCAGGATTAAGTCCTGCAGTGATGCACAAGTATATGCCCTTATATGTATCTAATGTAAATATGAAAACAGACATTAGTTAATATGTTACTGTTTTGTGTTTTTTGCCCTCAGGCGGTTTTCCATTAATTATGAAAATTATTGAAGCTGCCGCTGTCATGCTGCCACCTCTATTGACAAAGAAACGGCTCATTATTTTCCCGTTTCTGGCACTGATAATGATTACATGGTTACATAGTTTCCCCTTGAATCACATTGTTTCGCCATCTGACTGTTCACAGGTTCCTGAAGATGAAGAGAGCATCCCATCAGTCCTGCACTACAATAACCACGTGCAGAACAAAGACATGTAAGTGTCTGTTTAGTGTATTGAACAGCAGCGTTCTGGTCATGGAAATATACTATTCTCATACCAACCAAGGGATGCAGGTAGTGCTTTTGTTGCTGAGAAATCTGTTACATTTGGTGTCCTCTCGGTGGCAGCAGATCCACATTCGCAGCAACTACATGTGACTCATTGTAATTCCTGCCCTTTGTCAGGAATATCCGCCCGTTTTCTTGAACACAGTATGATCGAACAGGGAGGATGTGGCTGTTTACAGCACAGTACAGGTGACACATAGGCCTGCTGTGTTCCTGTCACTCACACAGACCAAGTGCGCTGTGCTTCCACGTGAAGCTCACCTGTGCCGATTGTTGACAGGGGAGCTTCACACCACAGCTACACTGTAGTGCACATAGAGCTTCAAAGTGACTTTGAACTTATATAACAGAAGAGCTGTTACTATGGAAATGGAAAAGATACTCTTTACAACAAACCCCAAATCATAAGATGCCGTAAGATTCATTTTATTTTTTTTTTATGAATGTAGTACTTCACTGTACTAATGTACCCAGAGGAGTGCTGAACAAGAGAACGTTCACAAGGCGAATCTCAGTGAATGAAAGGAGGATTTTAATGCAGGCCAGAGAAGAAAATTCATTCTTCAAACCACACTTAATTTTAAAAAACATTTTATTTGATCATATTTAAATATATAATGTGAGCTACAACTGTGCTTTGGAGACTTACTGTCATTATGTAATGCTTTTTTCAGTGTAGAGTCAAATCTCAGCATGGAGCAGCACTGTCGCTAGGCCTCGATCCTGCTGGAGGTTGGTCTTTATCCCACACAGTCCACTTGTAGCTTTTATTCTCTTGCTGAGGATAAATATTCTTCTGATACAAATTCTCCTCAATAATCATGACAAGCTGTTTTTCATCCAGTGATTACTGTATATGACTGTTAGCAAGTTGGTAACGTTTTTCTGTTTTCTAAAATACTCATCATAAATTAAATGTTGTATTAAATGAGTGACTTTATCCTGGTTCTAATGGAGTGATCTGACTCATTTCAAGACTGAGAAATGGGTTTCTTAATTTACTAATTGAATTTATTATTTTCTAGAGAAAACTGGACTCTCTCTGTATATATATGTATGTATGTGTGTATGTATGTATATGTGTGTGATGATTCAGAAAACTAAAACATGATCGTGAGAGCACAGCCATGGTTCCTATAATTAGAAATATTTGAATTCATGTTTTGTGTTATGTTTGCTTCAGACCTACTTGAGATTACGTGAATTTTCCTCTTTTTTTTTTTCTTTTTGCTTCGTTTTGTTCTTGATTTTGTGATTTAAACTGTTTCTGTGTGTGGGACCTAACAGACTGCGGGTGAAATATGAAGAGAACACAGATGTTTAAGCAAGTTTGTATTATAATTAATTTTGTGTGCTTTCACCACACTGGGATGCAATGTACGATATTACTGATTATAGATTTTAAAAATGAGACCTGTGATATGTGTTTGATCTGAGTTATAGGATATTTACTTTACATTTATTTGCCCATATAGCATTTATAAGTTTATTGCACACTATAATGTATTCATAGGCACATATAGAGACATTTCTAGGTATTTATTAATGTACAGTATTCATTGACAATTATATCCTCTATGGGAGTGTTTTTTTATTCATTATTACAATATAATGTGTTATAAATGATGCATAAAATGCTTATGCTTGCTAAATGGGAGGTTAAAGTAAAGGTTTGCCAGATCCATTTTAAGATCAATAATCATTGTAAATTTTAACCATGTTATCAATCTGAAAATGAATATTGTTGTCAAAAGCTGATGTGTATTTAGACCATTCACACAGTAGAATATTGGTCATGCTTCAACAAGGGAAACATCTGGAGTGCATCTTTTTGCTTTTGCTGAGCAAACGCAAAAAGGCACTCTGAGAAAGAGATAAAAATTCATAACACTGAGGCTTTTTAATTTGATTCTTATACATGTCATTGTGAAGACACGGTTTGGCGAGGTACACAGGCCTTGCTGATCTCCTCTGTGATTTCTGTAGCCCTTCCTACTATCCACAAACCCACAGCTCACGTCTTATCATATTTTGTGCTTCTAATTTGTTTGTATATTATTTGAACACCCTGATGAAGGCTTCTAGCCAAAAGGCTTTGGTGTCAGCCATGTAATATTTTTCTTTTGAAAAGTGAAATGTTTGTTAGTGCTAATGTAATTTTTCAAATCTTTTAGAGATTTGTTAAAAGTTGTATTCACATTCTATATGTACTGGCCTTATTTGAATTTAACAAATCAAATTTAAGAAATTAGTATTTGCTAAAAATAGTAATAATTTGCCAATAACAAACCTAAGAGGAAGTGTATTTCCCCTATTTAAGAGCCCTACAGCGTCCCCTCTCTAGTGGGGTCAGACTGAGGGTAAAGGTCGCACCCTTATTGCTCTCTCGGGACACTGGGGACCAAAACCAAACCAGAGGCCAGCCTCATCACTGACCTCGGGTCAAAGGGTGGCGCAAGAGCAAGTTCAAAGACAGGACTGCACACATGTGCTGGAGTCCATCATTTTAACCAGATTAATGGAAAGAATTCCTCTGGATTCATAGGCTGGGTTTTGGTGCTATTTTTGCATAAGGATGGGAGAAAATGTGGAGTAGAAACAGTCTTCTAATAGATGGAACATGATGCCTGGTTTGTCTGTAAATACAGAATACTATTTCACAACACGGCTTGTTTCTGATTCTGATAATTGGCTCATCTGTCCATCATTTTCTGATGACAGCTGTAATTTTCTTTTGCTCACCTGGCTGTGGCATTTCGTTGGTTGAGGGCAGCAGCGACAGCTCAGTGTGGCTGATTCCCACACAGAAGTAGCAGCAAGGAATCCATCTCTTCGTCCAAGTCTTCGTGCTAACAAAGGCGGGCACAGTGCTGTTTTCTTTTGTCATCAGTAACGTGTTTGAGTAAAGGACGTAATGGCGCTCACAAGTGCTCCAATTAAATGAGATGCAGCCCTGCTGGGAAGAAAGCTTCCCATATTGCCCTCCATATCCCCTACCCCAATGCATACACACATACATACACACACACACACACACACACAAAAACGGGGCCTCTTCTCATCCCACCCCCATGCGGTTCCTGCCCCAACTCTGCTCATATTTATTCATAAGCCACTTAAAGGCCAAATGCAGGGATCTAACTAACTCATTCACATCACATGGCATCGCTTTTTAAGTGATACCAGGCCTTCCTCTGAGCCTGAGGGAGCTCGGCCTTATGACATTGTCATAGCTATGTTTGAAAAAGGTCAGCCTCTTCTGGACAGAAGCTGACCACAGGTGTAACTTCCACAGTGGAAAACACAAACTGTACAGGGATCTCAGGAAAGGCTGGGGACTAAGACGCCACAGAAGGCGAGATGGAAAATCTTGAGCAAGCAGGAGGCATGGACAGAGAATGAGGCCTCTCATTGCTGATGATGACTGACTGCCTGCCATTCAGGCTCCATCCTGATCTTTGACTGACAGGTTGAGGGAAGCAGAGGCTGTGAAAGAAAGTGTAGGATGAGAGCTTAGAATGGGAGCGGCACAAAACATACTCCCATACAGGAGGGGCCATGGAGACCCTCATTAATGATAAAGACCATACCAGGAAAAGCGTGTTTGCTCTGTATGCCTGCGATGTTGTTTGTAGGTTGCGATTAGTTTGTAATCTCCTATACATGTGATGTAAGATGTATAGAATGCCACAGGGCTAAATTCTACATGGGAGGTTGTGTCAGAGCCCCTGCTTGTGGATCTGTGACTTTTTGTTTGTTTGTTTTTTTCACTAGTGTTGTTAGAAAACGACATACTACATGTCTAAAGGTGACTATTTTGCAGGCACTTTACAGATGTGTGTCTGTACAGTAAATCTCTACTTTGCAGTAACAAGGATCTACAGCGGTTAGATAAGCATTCAGGGATCTGTGTTCTCCCATTTAAAGAGAGCTGTAAAAGCCCCTATTGAAAGCATCCACAAGTCCATAAAACTGTTCATAAACTATTCAAGCCCTCACTCCTCTCTAATCTGCTCACGTTTTGTGCAGCTTCACTGTCCCCTTCTGCAGCAGGTGCATCTGACTTCCAAACCCTTTCAGACCATTTAGACTTGGTCTTTTTGATGTCCAAGTACCCTACTGGATTTTCCACCACCATCAGTGACTGTGCCATTTTGAGGTAAATGTACTTTACTTGAGTATTGTTATTTAAAGCTACTGAATTATGAGTGTTTTTAGTTCTGAAGGTTTATGTATATTTTGTGGTTAATGCATCAGTACTTAAGTAATATTTTGAATGCAGAACTTTCACTAAAAAAAAAAGTATTTGTACATTGTACTATTGATACTCTGAATACCTCCTCCTCCTCCACTGGACCCACACAGAGGGAGCTTAACCCCTACGTTGGGAACCACTGGATTAAAATGTTTAACTTTAGGCCCATACAGTATAAAGTAGTTCAAATCAGCTCCACCTTGACCATGTAGCTACACAAGCAAAATGTTGCTAATGCAGCTGTATAACAGTCTAATACCTGTAATGTCACGCCGAGTGGTTTTTCTGCAGAACCTGTACTTTCACTTTTGGTATTTTATATTTTTGTGATCATACATACATAGTGGAGTATTTTTATACTGCGGTACTGTTACTTAAGTAGATGATCTGAATACTTCTTCCACCACTACCCAGCACCTCTCAGCTCTGGCCGCTCCAGGCCACTAACTGTCCACAGAGGCTGTTTAAGTGTCCCTATCGGGCCACAGTGGAGAGGAACAGCAGATTAACCATGATCCTATCTGCTCACCGCTAGCCCCTTCATACGCTCCGTTACACCGGCTTTTAAAAGAAGGAGGGGACGCCATTCAGGCCTGTGATATGAATCCCAGACGTAAGGACAAGAACAGAGCTTTCACCATCGTTTCACAGAAAAGACCCCTTTCTGACACCCTCTAATTCTGGTTGCTATGGGCTTCTGGGTTCAATGGTGAACTCCTGTTGTGAGGGGACAAAGCCCCTCAGTCATCCGGCGATGGTTGCTAGGGGAGGCAGAATGTATGGGGAGGGACAGGCTGCCGTTGTCCCAGACGAAATGTCTCTCTTAAGGCGGCAGAGATCTAGTGATTGACAGGTGGCTACACGCTCCAGTGCGGATCACCCGAGAGGTCTAGAGGCCTTATATCTGTGACCGTGTGTGTGTGTGTGTGTGTGTGTGTGTGTCTGTGACAGGTTACGTTGTTTAGTTGGTGGCCTACGGCTTATAGGTTTCTGCTACTATGAAAGTGGCACTGTTTATTACCTGTAGAGCTGCTTCAGCTGCAAATACATGTTCAATCTTTGCCTGTCTGCCAGGCAGGCAGTGTTGGAAGACTGACTCGGGTGCACTACTGAAAGACCAGGGCCACAGTGTAAAACCTCTGCATTTTAATCCCTCCTCCAGTCCAAAATATGTTTTGCTAAGTGTACCTTCACTTGGATGTTTGAGCTTCACCGTGCAGAATAATGTACATCCAGTTTGACACATTCTTGTTGCTTTCACTTTGATTTGAGGTAGAGGGAAGGTTTCTCAGGGCTCCCATAAAATCTGAGTTTGACATGAGTACATGCACGAATGAGGGCATTACAGTTATTAGTTTGCAAACAAATCAAGGTTCAATACGTAACTTACACAACTGTGATGTGGAAATACATGGCCCTCCATTAAAAATGGACATTTTAGTGAAACAGGAGACACAGATGTGTCCAGTATTTTACAGTAACTTCTGAAATGAAAAATAGTCATCGATTCTGGATTTTTCATTAAGGAA